ACCTCATATTTGCTAGCATACGTCTTACTAAAAAGTAACTTGGAATGAATAAATGGATACAATTGCAGCCTTGAAAAGAAATCATACTTAAACTCGTAGAATTGTTTTTTAATTGCATAATAATGACCAAAATTCTGTCGTAATCGAAAGATGTTAAATTTAAAAAAGTTAAAAACTAGTCACTACCACAAACTGAAATCTGCTCTCATCGCCTTACTATCTACATACACTAATCTGTATTTCACAGTTAAACAAACATTCTACCTACTTTTTATGTTGTTGTTAAAGTCATTATATTGTCAAGAATTGTTCTTTTATTGCCCCAAATTTTATATTTTCTGCAACACTTTGTTCACAAAAACCTCTCTTGTTAACAATATGAAAATATTTACCAATGCCTTTCTTTTAGGTGATGGCGTGACATCTAGAGTTTCTGTTATCTCAATCATAAAAATAAAATGAATACCCTTCTGCACTTAATTAAGCTATTACAGACTGGAAACGCCAAGCGGAGTGTAATGAGGGAAAAATTTTGCCAACGGCATTAGCCTACTCCTTTTCTATTTCAAACTGTCGAAGTGAAGGATCTTTAATTAGTACAGTATGTAGCACACGGGGCCTCGGTTTATTGTCCCAACCGACAACTCGACGTTTTTTCCATGTCAGCCCCTCCTACCTGCACCACTGACAAGGGGAAACCTCTAAATCATAAGGAGGTAACTAATGGTAATACATCAATCCAAACATCAAAGTCAAAGACTTCAAGCAGGTAAATTAGTTGAGGCAGGTACGACTAGAATGTGATGGTAAAGACAGAAATGAGAAAGAAACCAAAATTGTTTACAAGGATAATAACTTTAGTGCATTGGTGGAGCCAAGGAGGAGGGGGACAGGGGTCCCCTCGGGCAAACATCTCATAACTAGGTTAGAAATTCTGGCAATCTCAGATATTTCGCCCCCACCCCCTCGGACGTAAACCTGGCTCCGCCACTGCTTTAAGGCAAAAGGATCATGTATTCTAGCTGGTCCCTGGTCAAACTTCTTGGTATCGATCTTAGTCATTTACAGCCTTGTAGAATGGAATAATGAGGGAATTAC